AAGATTCAAGGAGCTTGTAGAAAGCCAAATAAGTGAAGAATGAGAAGACTCATTCTCAAAGTCACTTGAGTCTTAGGATTAGAAATTTGGGCGTGTTGTTAGTGGTATCTGGCCATTTTACTTTTTTGCATATCCTGAGTTGTAATATTAAAAGGCACTTGCCTATGGATATTTTATTTATTTAATTAATTTAATTATTCAGTTGATTGTTTGATGTGTTGATTATGATATATGATTGCATGATTTCAATAATTTTTGACGATCTTGCATGTCGTGTTTAATTTAGCCTAGAACCCGATCGAAGGCTGATGAGGGAATGTTAAAATTCTTCTACTTAAATAAAATTAATTTTTTTAGCCAACATAGAAACTCTAACATTTTTAAGAAGTAAAGCTGGGTCTGTTGAGAGTCATTCATGTATTCATATTAAATCTTCTCTACCTTGTTAGGTACCTCCCCACCTACGGGTTTTGGAAAATTACCTGGCCTATGAGGGTGCAGATCTATCAAAAGGAATTTGTGTAATCTTTAGGATAAAAACTATTTTTAAACATTTTTAAAACTACTTCATTTTGATTTCAAGCATTTGAGTCAACTGACATGCATTGTATTAGAAACAAATTTAAATACATCTAAAATGTAATTGCATTTTACTTTAAGCATAAATTTACCCAACAAAAGTTAAGGGGCCAAATAAGGATCTGCTCTAGATGTCGGCACCGCTTTCTTTGAACTTAACTTAATATAACATCTCTATCACTCTAACATAAAAGATCATACTCATGATTTTGAAGTGTTTAGGTGATTTAGCTAGCTCTCTAATCTAAGTTGGGGAAAGTTCAGATCTGTATTGCATTAGTTAGGTTCAGGTTACTGATTTTTCAGTGCCTAATTTAGACTTAGGTTTTGAGGCAGACCCAGGCTATATGACCTCAACCTCCAGGAATCAAATCCCAACTTTCTAATAAAATAGACTATTCAATCCTAAATCTCTTTGAACTTAAATTCAAGCCCAACACTTAGGATATGATGGAGTGTTTCTGAATTATTTTATAATCTTAAATTACTCTCTCCCTTCCTCATTTGACTCTTGAAATAAGTGCTCCAATTTGATCCAATCCCATTTGAAAATTTAAATCCTTACATCCTTTGACATCAAACTTTGAATTCTAAAATAAAAATTTTACCTCTATTTTAATTGAGAGTATTCATAGGAAACTCTAATTTTCCAACTATGTAATTAACTACGAAGGCTTATACTCGTAGGAGATTTAGAAACCCATATCAAATTTTTAAACAAATAAAGTTTTAAAAACCTCAATTAATTCTCTTTGGGATATAAAAAAATTGGTGATCATTATCGTCATATTCAAATAATCAATAATAGATAATATCCTCTTTCCTCGGGAAGATATATTTCTTTATTATCATTACTTTGATTATGAAATTAGTGATCTCTTATACGTATCATTATCATCAAACACTCGATCAAATTTAATCTTAATACTCCAGGGTCATGTGTGATTCCTCCCTGAGTTTAACTACAATAATCATGATAAATTCAAAGTCTTGTAATATGAACCTATTAGAGAGCTATATGTTCACCTTTTGAGGTGATATATCATTTATAATGACATGTTTGATTCCAAAACTAAAATTCCAGAAATTAAACTTTCCAAAAAAAATAAACTTTTTCAAACCATATTTTTCAATCAAACAGTGGTATTATTAGATTAGTCAGAGGGCTAAAATCAAATGGATAACTCATGGTGAAGATGATCTCAAATTCTTATACTCAAAAATACACTTGAGAAGGAATTATAGGAAAATTGACATTTCCCTTGCCATGTCCAATTCCTGCTCCTCATTTGCTAAAAGCTATTGAGAACACCATTTCCCATTTCCAAGGTCTTTTTAATCCACCAAACTGACAACCTTTTGACATTAACCTATTATCTATTGGTAATGTTATCCCCTATGATCTTCTCGACTCCTTAACTATACCTTTTTCAAATTCTGAAATTAAAAAGGCAATTTTTTCAGGCACATCTAATTTAACATTAGGTCCAGACGATTTCAACTTTGAGTTTAATAAATCTACTTGTCTTATCACTGACCCTACGGTGTGTAATGCTATGAAATCTTTTTTACATAATACCTATATTCCTCATGCTACTAAGGCCACTGCCATCACCCTCATTCTGAAATCCAGTCATGCGGCAGCTATTACAGACTTCAGACCTATCTCTCTATGTAACACTAGCTATAAAATTATTGCTAAAATTTAGCTCCTAGTATGAAACATGTAATGCCCCACATCATAAAAGGGAATCAAACCATCTTCATCCACAAAAGGATTTCAATATATAGTGTTATTTTAGCCAAAGAAATTCTATACCATTCTAGAATTTCTGATAAGCATAAGCTTTTGTGTGTTAAGTTTGATATCAAAAAAGCTTTTGAAAGTGTTTCCAGAGATTTTCTTGTGGAGAGACTGGTTTAGAAAGGTTTTCCTAAACTTTTATCAAGTGGATTAGTGCTTGTATAAATGATGTCTTGTTTTCCCTATGCATTGATGGGGCTCTTGAGGGTTTCTTTTCCTATTCTGCTGGGCTTAGGTAGGGTTGTCCGTTAAGCCCGTATCTCTTTTGTATTATCATGGATGCATTTTCCTATATGCGTGACAACCCCTCGAATGATGATATGTTTGAGGCTATTTAAGTGGATGGAATGCAGATTTCTCATCTAATGTACACATATGATCTCCTCATCGTTGGGAAAGATGAAACTCATAATTGTCTGATTATATGCTAGTTGCTAAACTTGCTCTCTGAGGCCTCGGGTCTTCAAGTGAATTTTGGGAAAAGCTCCCTCATTTTTCCTTCTAACAGTCAAAATGCAAGCAACATTTTTTCTATCCTAAATATTCCATCCACCTCCACTTGCATCTCTTATCTTGGGATCCCTATATCCCCTTATAACCCAAAGCTATGTAACTTCTCCAACCTTTTGGAAACTGTTACTTATAATCTCTCTGGTTGGAAAGCTAAAGCTCTATCTTTTGCCGAAAGATTGCAGTATTTAAGTTCACCATTTGGAATACGATTGTGTACTTGATTCGAGGTTCCATCATACTGAAAGTCGTTATAAAGCAAATTGAAAAACTCTATGCTAAGTTTCTCTATTTTGGCGATATTTCCATATGCAAACTTCACGTTATTTCTAGGAAAAATACATGTAAACCCAATAGAGGTCTTGACCTACCATCCTTAAAATTCATTCAGTTCAGCTATAATTATTCACTTTCGGAGAGGATTTACAATAGCAGCAACCCACTTTCTAAGTGGTTTTTTTTTTTTTTTTAATTTTTTTAAATATTCATCTCCTTGGAAGCCTCCTCCATCTAATGTTTCCTCCTTTTGAAAAAAAATTATGCAAGGATGCCTCCTATGCAAAGGATAATTTTCATTTTAAGATTGTCTCAAACTCTCCCATTTCTCTTTACTGAGATCATTGGTTTATGGAAAATTGCTAAAAGAGGTTACTGCTATGCATCCAATCTTAAATAAATTCCATATCAATGCTAGTATTTCTATTATCCTAAAGGATCATGGTTGGGTAATGCCTTCAGATTTTCCTGTTACCCTTCTCGAAGCTCTCTATGACATTCTTGTAGATTCGAGTGTTAATTGTTGTCTGATATGGGGTAAGGGGAATGAAAGTGCCCTCAGTTCATTCCAAGATTATTTTTACAGAGATAATATTAATGTTAACTGGCACCAATTTGTATGGCACAAATATTATGCCCTTAGATTTTCTTTTTATTGTTGTATGACATTAAAGGGTGGACTTAAGACTGTTGATGCTCTTCTATCTAGGAGTATTATTGTAGATGCTTGTTATTCTCTATGTCATTCTTCCATAGAAACTACTACACACCTTTTTTTTCGAATGTGACTTCTCATTCTCAGTTATTGTCAATCTCCTCCCTAACATGAGAAGTCACCTCCTTAGACCAAATATTCTTCAGGCTTTTGAAAGCACACGTGATACTCAGGCCATTGTGAGATCTTCTTATTATATTATCATTTGCTGCTCGATATACCATCTTTGGAGGGAAATAAATGATAGGAAATTCAATAATTCTTATGCTTCATCCTCCACCATTTGTCAAAAGATAAAATATGTTGTATTCTCTAAAGTTTTGACATGGAAAATTGGCCATACTCTGCTAGATTTGCTTTAATACAAGACCCCTTCTCGTTCTGTTATGGTTTCTCAGCATATATGAACTGTTCTCTACTCGTTCTGTTGAAATTCACCTTGGACGGGAATTCTTTTTTGGTTCGGCCACATATGTAAATAGGAAGATCGAATGGTCTGCTTCTATATATGCTTATTGGATGTGATCCTGATGGGTTTTTGATGGCAAGTGATTCTTTTTCTGCTATGGAAGATTTTTGGTGATTCGTGGATGGTCTGTCTTGGCAACCAGGGTTCGATTTTTGAAGGACGATGATGAATGTAAATATTTCTTCGCTCCCTCTTGGATGGTCTGTATTTTTGGCAACCTTGGGCTATTGCTCATCTCTTTAGATGATTTTGTTGCCGGGGTAATCTCATCGTGCTTTTCATCTTGAGTCTTTGGTTTTTTTGTTTTTGCTTTCTTTTGTTATAGCTTTTTCTCTATTTCAGCAGTTTTTGATTTTAGGATTTTCTTTATCTGCAGCACATTTTGTTGGGCTTGCATTTGATTTTGGCATTTTTACTTTTTTTATATTATTTTCATTTCTTAATGATATGGGCTCCGGGCTCAAATAGTCCCAAATATTTTTTTTATTCAGTGCTCCTGCTTTAATTCTCCTGCTCTAATTGAAATTAACAGGCCGCTCATTTTTTTAAATTCATAAAAAATTATTTCAACCAAATCCTGAATTGCCTAAAAAAATCATTTTTTTTTATAAGCTCAGAATTCCTTCTCAGCATTAGACTTACTCGGCCACGAGAGAGCTAAATTCGTCAAGGTGGCAGCTGACGATAAACTACGCATCAACGGCTCTCCTTTCGCTTTGACCAAAACGCTCTCGAAATTTTAGCTGGATAATGCAGTAATCATCTTTTGCAATTCCGACGGATCGACCCACGGTGCCTCTTCGATGTATCCAATGCAGAGAGATAAAACACTTTCACGTTCCTAGCTGCTGCATTTCTGCGCCACTAGATAATCCTGGCATAGTGGCATTGGCATTTGCATTTTCATTGACGTCCTGCAGTTAACTCCTGATGGCCGCAAACCTTATAAAACAACAGTACCCTAAACCACGGTTGGATTTTGAAGTCGGTGGCGGCGGCAACGCTACTGAGAACGCGGAAACAGAGAAGCGGAAGGAAGACAACCCGACTTCCGGCGATGGTAGTTCGGCGGCTTTAGTTTTGCCGAGGGAGGAAGCCATGCGGCTCGCCATCTACATTGCCATGGCGCATGGCGGGCTAGCCCTATCGTTTGCCCTGATATGCGGTCTAGCCTGGCTGCTGAAGGATTACCGGCGGCCAATTCAGTGGGCATTGCTCTGCTCGATGCCCCTCCGCGAGCTCCATACCGCACTCGTCTCCTTCTGGTCTCACCCGCTCCGCCTCGGGCTCCCTGAGACCCTTCTCGCCGTCCCCCTTGTCGTACTTCGCTCCGTCGCCAGCTCCCTTATCGACTCCCACACTGCTCTTCACCGCCTCCTCCGCCGCCAGAGTCAGCCGCGCCAACCACTCCCTCACCTTGGTTTCTCAAAGCTCATGCGATGGCTCGTTTCCTTCGCATTCTTCGTCCTCCTCCACGAGCGCTTGGGCCCCCTCGCGTTCCCCGTCTTCGTCCTTCCTGGCTTCCTCGCTTTCGCCCGCACTCGCCCTCCCCCTCTTTCCGCCACCCTCTCGGCCATCTCTTTCGCCCGCCGCAACCGCCGCAGCCGCAAGCACTCCTCCGAACCCCCGTCGCATGTCCTCAGCCGCTTCCTCACCTTCCGCATCCTTCGTAGCCTCAACACCCTTATCGCTGTCAGCCTTATACTTGCTATGATCTCCGTCTTCCTTTTTGGCTCCGTCCTCTTCTCCTACAAGATCGCCATCGAGGGTCGCGACGCCGTCGTCGCCCTCAAGACCCACTTCCAAGAGCACAATTACACGGAAAGGATCGGCCTTCAGCGCTGGATGGACGATCACGATGTACCCGAGCTAATCGAGTCCGGCGCTTCCAAGCTATACGATACCGTCGTCCACTACGTTGATTCTCTTGCCCTCCATTACAATGCCACCGAGCTCGCCGACGGATTGAAGCAGTACCTCATTAAGCCCTTGGAAAAATCCTCCAATTCCTCATCTTTCATCACAAAGAAGTGTTCCCTCCACCCTTTCTCTATTAAACTCCGCAACCTTGTACACCACATCCGTAACCAGGAGTGGCGGCAAACTTATGCAGATTCCGATTATATGGTAAAGGAATTCCTATCTGTGATTGCCAGAGAAGACTTGGTAGAAAAGATCAAAGGTTTTGCTCTTCAGAGCATAGATATGTCCAAACAGGTCTTGGCTAGCAGCACCATGGTTTTGTCTGGGAGTGCCAATTTGCTCTTCTCCATTTCTCTTTCCATAGTCTCTGGTGCTGCTGGGTTGTTGAATTTCGTGTCACAAGTCTTCATTTTCTTCTGGCTCCTCTACTCCTTAATCACTTCTGAATCAGGTGTCATGGATCATGCTCTTGGCATGCTTCCCATATCCAAGTCTAAAAGAGTTCGTTGTGCAGTGGTGCTTGATCATGCTCTCAGTAGTGTGATGTTGGCTGCTGTGAAAGTTGCTCTTTTTCAGGGGTGCTTCACATATCTCTTGTTTCGATTCTACCATATACATTTTCTTTATGTATCTACTTTCATTGCCTGGACAAGTGCAATACTGCCAATTACGCCATTCTGGTTTTCTTCTGTTCCAGCTGCTGTTCAGTTGGCTGTGGAGGCTAGGTATGTTGAAGCTGTGGCGCTTACATCCATACATCTCATTATCTTAGATTATGGGACGCTTGCAATCCAAGATGAAATACCAGGGCAAAATGCTTATTTGACAGGGCTTAGCATTCTTGGTGGAATGGCATTGTTCCCATCAATTTTGGAGGTTTTCTCTCGGTCTTTACATTGTCACTTTAATTTCCAACGACCTTTCCCCGCCTAAAAAATATTAAACTTTATTAGGTAGCAAGTCTCTATTCTTTTATTTTAAGTAGTAATGATTCCACCGATACTTGATACAAGAATGAATTTTAATATTATGCTTAAACCATATCTTTGCTCCCATAAACTTATGGTGGATTAAGGATCTTCTTAATTTCTTCCTAATTTATTGCATATATGTTTATGCTGAAGATGACTGATGATTAAAACCATATGCAATACCCAGCATACCTGCATGGGCCATAGAAATTGGATTTCTTGATCATTACTATAATTATATAGTTCTTCTTTGTTTTGTCTAGATATCTTTTTATTTTTAAGTTTTTTACTGAACTTTCTCAACTACCTAGACGTTGTAGGGTGTTCTAATTGTTTGTTATAAATTAATGACAATTGCATGAACTTATTTTATTTTGCTATGATTCTATCATCATCCCTGCGAGTAATTCTCTTACCATTTATTGTATTTTTAAGAATTCTGGATTATCATTCCATAAATCGGATCCACATATATCATGCATACAAATTTCTTTGACAGTTGATTGGATTCAAAATATATTAAGTACAGAACAATAAGCAGTTCTTTAGAATTAAGAAATGCTTTTAGTTTTAGGGAATGAATATTGGGTCCAATTTAAAACCTGCTTGCTTCAATTACAATAATATTGTTTTGTCATCTGATAAATTATATCTATTAAAGATTCAAGTGTATTTGTTTGAAGTTTTCTACCGTTCATACACAGGTATGATTGTGTTGTATTGAACGAGTACGATAATAGTTTCAGTTATTGCAGTAAAGCTTCAATGACAAAAACCTCGAAGAGAATTCTAACAACTGTATGAACTAAATTTCAAATCTAATCTGAAGAGTTTTTGTCTTAAATTTCATTAGTTAATGTCTATGCTATCTGCAAAGGCTTGTATATTAAACAACTGCTCCTTGCAACATGATGTCGAAAAAAAAAAGATGTTTGCTATGAGCATAACAAGTTTTGAGAATTGGAAAAAAAATTGTAAAGATAATTATACGAAAAATAGTGGCAAGATAGTTCACGATGCTTGCTTGTATTCAAAACTGCAAAAAGAGAGAGTTCATAGTATCAAAGATGTGTACGTGTATAATATTTTCTTGCTCAAATATTTTTTCCCTTTATATCACTAATTATTTTACCTCCAATCTCTCTATTCCGATATTGTTAGTTTTCCTCACTTCATTGTATGTATATATATATATATATATTGTTTATTCATCATTGCCTTTGATTTGAGTATTACCTGAAAGGTGCTAAAGTGTATGTATGTATGTATGTATATATAAAGTACGTAAACCTATTAAAAATATTCTAGTAATTGAAAGTGTGCATGAGGCCAACAACATGAGAGTAGTTATAGGCTGAAGTCTATGTAGAGAGCTTGTAAATACTTAATTTTATGAAATTCATAGTATTGATCAAATTTGTAACCCCTACCATGAAAATCAACGAGCATATTGTTTGAGCTAGAGAACTTTAGAATGTATACTTTTTGACCTTATTTTCTTTTAATACAACAATATGTTACCAATAGTATAATGAAAAACTCATGATTTGGTTAAGAATCCAAGTCCATGTAATATTCAATTTTATCTTATGCCTTTTTCTCTAATTAATATTTGCTGCAACTATTCGATGCCTTACTTTTTTTTGACACCATCTCGAATGCTGATGGATGAGACCCATGCTGGCTGACCTCACCACTGACTGGTAGCTCCACTGTTGCAGTGATTACCTGGCTCTCTAATTGAGCCTTTCTCAATGCTAGCTGCCTGGCATCCTCCAATCATCGTTAGCCACCCATCAATTCTCGCTTGAGACCACCTCAGATTTTTCGTTGACCTTCTCAAATATGTTGTTGATAACTACATATCTTGCAAAGAAGCTTGTTACTGGTCGTCCCACTGACCTCCTCTTTAATCATCTTTGCACACATTGCCAGCTTCCTATAGAGTCTGTCAATATTCACAAGTTGAGAATCTTTTTGACCATCACTGTGAGAACCTTCGTCAACATGTTTGCTACATATACATTGCATCTTGGTTTGAATTTGATTATCTTTATTTAGTTGCTATACTTGAATTCAAATATGAATAAGATTTGAACCAAAATCTCTTCCAAATATTTTCAAAGGAGAAAAGGACCAAAATAGTCCCTTAACTCTTTAGGTAGAACCAAAATGGTCCCCAACTATGTTAAGAGACCATTTTGGTCCCTCAGCATTTAAAAACAAACCAAAATAGTCCCACCATTACTTCTTTAATAGTAAAAAACAAAAAAGGTAACGAAGATGTCCATCACTGGAGGGTATATGCAGAATACTATAAATTCTTCATGGAAGTTGTAATAAATTCAAAGAGTTGAAATCAAAATTGCGAGAATTTTACCCAGTTCGAAACTCCTTGCAATGTCCAAACCTCTTTCAGCATCGAAACCCCAGATCAAATCGAAGGAGGCGAGTGTAGAATCCCGACATCAAACTGCGGATAAATTCGAAACCCAGTAGCCGACTGGTCTTCGCCTGCTTTGGCAACGTTGAACTCCTGTGGAACCCTAACATCGAACTCCAGCAACATTGGACCCCATCAATTGCTTGTTCTTCGCTTCTGTTATTTTTTTGCTGTTCGACTTCGCTCCTTCGAGGATATTCCCTTCCTGTTGGACCATAAGTCGAAACATTTTAATAGGGTGCTCGCTCGCTATCAAGGTAACTGTTTTTCTTTATTTCGCGTGCTTCTTCTGTCAAATTCTTCCCCTAACTGTCGATCTCTAGCAAAGTCGAACACAACAACAACGAGTCCCGTCCATGAAGTCGACGTCCATTGGCGGGAACAAATCGTTGCACACTAAACCCCCACCCGCCCAGTTATCACGTTCGGTTGGGCATCCACGAGATGACGATTAGCTGAGTTCGATTGAGCAACTAGTGGGAGGTATTTTTATAGACATTATCTGCAAAAATATTTATAAAATTACTGCGAAAAAAAAACAAATTTGTGAGTATTATATATATTTTTTTAAATGAAAAACTATTCTAGAGTTATAAAATTATTGTTAAGGCTCTACATATTAACAAAAATTTAATTTAGGCCATAAATTTGTGAGCATTATAGATTTTTTTAATGAAAAACTATTATATAGTTCTTAATATAACCCTTTATATTAGGAAAGATAGCATCTATGTTGACCCTCATGCTATACCCAAAGGAAAAGAAAGGAAGAAGAAAGCAAACTGAAAATCCCTTGTACATACCTCTAACCCGTTGGATCCCTAAAATCATGCCAAAATCCCGTCGATTCGGCGTCATTCGCGTCGCTTCCCCGAAATCTCGCTGGAATCCCGTAGCTCGGCGCCGAATCCATCGCTTCTCCGCGATTCCTGCTCAAAACCTGCGACTCGCCTCGATCTCACTCCAACTCCCGTCGTTAAATACAGGACTTGCGGAAGCCTTCGGGATTCATTCACAAATCCCACACGACCCCAACTCCACCTCCAGTCCTTCCTCTCCGACCCAACCCCGTTCGCTATCTGCAGCTCCAACCCGACGCCAGAACTCCTTCGACGACGTCCCTTCCTTGTCGGATCGGAAGTCTCGACGCCCTGATCGGAAGCAACATTGAAGCTCGCTTGCTGTAGAGGAAACTTTCTCCCATTCGTGCGGCTTATTTGGCCCTCGTGGTCGGTCGACTTCGCTCCTTGAACGACTTTCCCTCCCAATAGGATCGGAAGTTACACATTTTGATCGGAAGCAAGCTCAGGAGCTCGCCGCAGTGAAGGTAGTTTTCTCCCTTGCGCATGCTTCTCGGCCGA